CCTCATTTACTAACCTAATCACCTCTGAAGAGGCCTTATCTCCAAACACAGTCACATTCTGAGATACTGGGGTGTCGGCTCCAACGTATGCATTCTGAGAACACAATTTATCCCACACCAGGTAGCTTACAACTTGTTTTTTTTCACTTAACAGTAAATACATCCTAGCATCACTGCATAGCGGTTTGGATCATTTCTCTGCTATTTTCTACATCTACGAAAGACTCATTTTGTGACCACACCAGTTTATTCAACCAGTCTCGTGGACATCTGATGGACATTTGGTTTGTTAATCTTTTGCATTACAGAGTGTTGCAATAACTAACTTTGTACATACGCCTTTTTGTATTTTTGTCATTAGACCTTTGTGATAGATTCCTAGAAATGGAATTGCTGGGTCAAAGGGTAAATGAAAATATTTAATTTGGCTTGATATTGCCAAATTGCCCTCCACAGAGATTCACACTACCAGAAAATGTACAAGCGTGCCTATCTCTCCCCAGCCTCGCCAGCAAAGTATGCTGTCAAACTTCTGGATTTTTGCTAATCAAAAATGGTAAGAAATGGTATCTCAATGCATGTTAGACTCGCAGTTCTCTTATCATGAGTGAGTCTGAACATGTTTTCCATGTTTAAGGGCCCTTTCATTTCAATTTTGTGAACAAAAATCTCTTGGAGATTTTGATACGAATTGCAGAAACTTTTCTCCAAGTTTGTCCTTTTGTCTTTTAAATTTTCTTACGGAGCTTTTCCCCCACGCACGCTCCATGCTGTTTGGGTCAAATGGAGCAAAATTTACCAATCTTTGATCTCACTGTTTCTGGTTTTTGAGTCATATTTTGTAAACTTTTTCCATTTCTAGGTTATAAAGGAATTCATGCTTATGAATTCTACCGCCACTTCCAAGTTAGCAATTTTATTTTCAAAACTTTTCCAGCTTTATTAAGGTATGATTGACAAATAAAAATTGTATTTATTTAGGTTTCACATGACTTAAGGTGCACATGATTTAATATATATATACATTATAAAATGATTATCACAGTCAAGTTAATAAACACATCCATCACCTCACATAGTGACTGTGTGTGTGTGTGTGTGTGTGTGCGCGCGCGCGTGTGGTGAGAACACTTAAGATCTACTCTCTCAGCACATTTCAGCCTACGATACAGTACAGATCTCTGCTGCCTCCTTACCATAAACCATGAGGCTATCACTTACTTAAACTAAACCTTCCTCTTCCCTATGTTAGTTTTGCTTCTTCTCTTGGTTACCTTTGAATTTACATTTCTATTTCTTTTTAAGAACTTTAAAAAAGTATATCTTGAACCCCTAATTTGCAAGATGATAATTTTAAAAACAGCCATAGTGCTTACAGGACAGAGCTCTGATTCCTTCTTTCCTCTGGCGCCTCCTGTAGATGATTCCTAATACTACAAAATATCCTTTTCCTTACACCCCATTGTTGCTTGAAATCACACTTACTAAAGTTTGCTTCATATTCGCTCCAAAACTCTTGCATTCAGACTTTTCTTTGGAATGGTATAGAATGACCTTTCTTTTTCTCCTGTTTTTTTTTTTTTTAATTAATTAATTTATTTGGCTGTGTCGGGTCTTAGTTGTAGCACATGGGATCTCTGTTGCCGCGTGCAGGATCTTTAGTTGCGGCATTCAAACTCTTAGTTGCAGCACGTGGGATCTAGTTCCCTGACCAGGGATCGAACCCGGGCCCCCTGCATTGGGAGCATGGAGTCTTAGCCACTGGACCACCAGGGAAGTCCCTCTTTTTCTTTTCATATGGCACATCTTCCATCTGCTCAATCATAGGTCTTTTTGTTTTTCCCTCCAGAGACCTCCCTGGAGCAACCTTCTCTTGCTCAAATTTGGCCTACTTGCTCTTCTAGGCTGACTGAACAGCTATAATCAGAGATTTCTACGGCACTCCTCTCCTGTGCTATTAGACCCACTGTGTCCTGGATTCTCAAGCTTACTTCCTCATTTTGCTAGAGTGTATCTCCCTCCAGTAATATTAAAAAACAAAAAAACACATCTCTTGAGTGTCTTTCACAGTAATTGAATTTGGCTGGATACAGAATATTGGGCTTAAATTAAGTTTCTTTCAAAGCTTTAAATGTCCTGTTGAATTCTCTTTCAGTATTCAGACTGCTGTTAAACTTGATACCACTCCGATCCTTGTTTCCTGGTAGGAAAAGTCCACTGTTCTCATTATCCTTATTGTTCAGTTTCACACTGACATGTTGAAGTTGTGGTCTTTTCTCTTGGTCCTAGGAATTCAGTAGGACCTTTGAACTTGAAGACTCTTTTCTTCAGCTCTGGGAAACCCTCCCTTTTATTCTGATAACTTCCTTCCATTCCATTTTCTCATTCTGAGACTCCAACGAAGTCTCCTAGATTGGTCTTCCATGTCTGTTCTTACTAGTCTATCATTCTCTTGTCCTCCCTTAACTTTCCTTAACTTTATTCTCTAGTCCAACTACCAAGTTTTATATATTTTTACAAACCTTTCTTTCTCTGCTCTTTTTTCATAGCATCCCCCGCTTCTTAGTTTTCTGCAAATAATATATATATCATATATATATATCATATATATATATATATATATATGATATATATATCAGAATATTTACTTTCATGAAGTTTCTTTCCATTTTCTGAATAACCTTTCTCTCTGGGGGTCAGTTTTTCAAACTTACTAACATTGGTCTTTGATGCTCTTGGTTCTACTCAGTTATCTGACTCTTACTTAAGAAGATACTGGCTAAACTGGTAATGGGTTTCCTCTGCTTTCCAGCTCAGCCTCTTTCTTGCATGGAAATTCTACCAGGAACTCTGTGCAATGCAGGGCAGGGCAGATGGAGAGGGTCAACCACAGGCTTTGCTTTAGGGAAATGAGCTGGCTGTCCAGACTGTGGGACCTTCCAAATGCCAGAATGAGGACATTCAGGTGACAACCCCTGTTCTGAGCTTCCGGATGGGAGAGGGAGTGCAGGTCAAACCGGCGCAAATTGTTTCACATTCAGGACTTCAATTAATCCGTTTCCACTACCACTTCTCACTCTCAGCACCACTGGACCTGCCAATACTGGGCCCAGAGTTCCTCGGGATTCCCAGAAGCAGGCTGGCTCTCCCTCCCTCCCAGCACATTCTGGGCTGTAAACCTTTCCGCCTCTTTTATCTGTCAACCCACTCCCATCTGCTTGTCTTCCAGAAATTCACTGAAGGCTGTTGTCAGTTGCTGAATACCCCTCCTCACCCACTTCCTCCTCTCATCGCTATTCTAAGCCTATTCCTTCTATTACATCAATTATTTTGGCTCAGTGGGGTCCTGGGAGGGGTTGGGGCAAAACTTAATGGTCAACCCTTCTTGAACTTTCTGGCTATGTTTCCTGTGAAGAAGTAGGTGGACCTTCCTCGTAACAGTGTTTTGTAGAGAGTAGGAAGGAACCCAGTCTCTAATGCCATGATCTAAGACGTACGCATATTTTCAACTGATGTGTATTTTTTTTCAGCAAGAGGATCTTTCAAAGGAGTGTGTGACCTAAAGAAGAAACTGAACCAGGACAACATCCGGTTTCTTCCGGCTCTGCCAACTTGGGGATGTTTGTGCAGTGTTTAAACCAAGTGAGGCAACACTTTTTGGTTCATGAATCAGGAGGGAAATTTGCTGTTTTGGGTGGGTGTGTGCTGGGGTGAAATGGATAAGTTTGGTTTTGGAAATGTTGAGTTTTGAGATGTTTGCATGGTGGTCTAAGAAAAGATGCCTAGTAGGTAGTTGAACCTATGTTAACAGATGGGAAAGATTTGGGAGTTGTCAACCGTGCTGCATATGAAACCACCCAGAAAATAAAGCCATTTCGAAAGACAAAGAGTAGAACTCTGGGTAACATAAACATTTAGGAATGGGAAGAAGAAAACAAATCTTTAACAGAGACCACATAAGACAATGCTCAGTTATGTCAAATGCTGTGAACAAGACTGCTACGGATGCACTGGATTTTAGTCACTAGGTTATTAAATGCCTTGGAAAAATAATGAAAGTGAAGTGGCAAACTGGTGGCAATAGAGGCCTGACTTCTAATAGTATCTGAAACAGTGACTCTGTAGCAGCCTCTGTGGGTCTCTCCAGCAACAGTGTTGGATGGGAAAGGGGATAATGGTGCATTAATCCAGGGTGGAAGCAGAATGAAAGGGATGAAGACCCAAGATAATGGACAAGAGTGTTGAAAACAGCTGAAGACAGCTTAGGATGAATAAGGAAACACAGGAAGTTAAAGGATCTCTGAAAGCTGAAGAGTTAATACTAGAAGAGGCATGAGTAAGATGGCATGAGAACACTGGATGGATAGGAGGCTGGGGTCGGAGAGTGGGGGGACATATAAATGTGTATTATTAAAACTGGGAAGGTCCTGGATACCAACAAGCTGTAGGGTATGGCAAGGGACGGTCCAGCTCAGTGAAGCAGAGGGCAACACCAGGACCTGGGTCAAGGTGTTAGATCTGCTATCCACAAAGAGGCGGTGACGTCATGAGCCGGCACAGGCCTCTGAGTGTGGAGGAAGACAGAGCTAGTTTCTAAATTCTTCCTGCAATATGGCGAGAACATCCAACCAGCCACTGGCAGTAGCAAAGTCAAACAAGAGGCAGATGGCACATGCATCCCTAAGAAATCAGAGGATTCCCCAAAGAGGGTGAGGTTAGATTAGATCAGATTTGAAGATAAGAATCAATTCCACATTTGAGTGCCCATGACTCCCTGTGCTGGTGTATGTAACCCAATGAAGAAAATGCAAAAATGGCCCTCGGGTAATTCATAATTGAGTATATAATCTCTTATGGCCCTTTCAATTCTATGATAAGATGATTTGAATACTCTTGGTCCAAGGCCAACTAGGAAAAATTTTGTTTCTGGGTTTTCCTAACCATACAACAAAGAAATGCTCCACTTCTACTCTTTATTACATCTTTAAACACACACTCACCTGATTCTTTCTAGGAAGTGCTCTGTCTGCGCGATTGCTTTCTTGAGACTTCCTCTTATTAATTTTCTTTTCTTTATAAGGCTGAGCTTCTGTATTAAATAAGTTGCAAACACTCTCTTCTGAAAAACTGATCAACTGCTATAAAGAAAATTAAAAGCAGGGCTACCATAAAACACAGTCAGTTACATTTTCATGAGTGTCTCTCACGTTTCTTTTCCCTTCCCTGCGGATTCTACCATTTTACATCCCATTTCCGCTTAATTCACAAATTCCATTGGAAGTATTTTAACCAAGTCACATTCAAAAGAGGGAAATAGTAATTACTGATTTCTGATCAAACATTGACCCAGAAGCATATGCACTCTGTCCTACTATTTTATGGAAGAGAAAAAAACAACTTAAGAATCGTTGTTTTAGGTGCAAACTATCATATATAGGATGGATAAACAACAAGGTCCTACTGTATAGCACAGGCAACTATATTCAATATCCTGAGATCAACCATAATGGAAAAGAATATGAAAAAAATATACATATGTATAACTGAATCACTTTGCTGTACATTGTAAATCAACTATACTTCAATAAAATTTTTGAAAATAAAAAATAAAAAAGAATCACTGTCTTATTCATTCATCAAATATTTATTGAACATCTACAATGTAGCACCTAACTACTGATGGGTTATAGGGGGAAAAATCATGAACCGTCAGATTATCTAAGTTTGACTTCTGGGTTTATCATCAACAGTATCAGTGAAAAAAAAATCAGTATGCTATATGTTTATGCACTGTGATGCTATAGATAAAAATCCAAGTTCATCTAATTTAATAAAATCGCAAAAGACATGCATCGATGGGAGTTATGCTCACACTGAAAACAACTGAAGGTAGTTTTTGAAAAAGTTATATTTATGGCACTTTCTGACTGTTAATACATGTGACTCTGGAGAACAAATGTATGGACACCAAGGGCGGAAAGCCGGTGGGTGGTGGTGGAGGGGGTTGGGATGAATTGGGAGATTGGGATTGACATATATACACTAATATGTATAAAATAGATAACTAATAAGAAGCTGCTGTATAAAAAAATAAAATTAAATTTAAAAATTAAAAAAAAAAGCGACTCTTCTCCACTCTGCACTTCGATATAACTCATAAAACCACACAGATCCCGAATAAACTTTCTAAACAGACTACCTTCCACATGAACACACACTCTGAAAGCACCTCGTTTATTGTATTTTTCTTCTAACAGAATTAATTAAAATCAAATCAGGAAAACAGCATTATCCTGGCTTACATGATAGGTAGGATATGTTATTAGTTCTTAACACATTGATTAAACCAAGATTTAACTGATAAATCATTTGATCATGAAAACAGAGAAAAATCTAGTGCAAGATTTAAAAACAGATAATTGTGCCAAATACAAATACTTACACTTCTTCTGTTAGAGGTCCGCGTTGCTCTACCAACTTTACAGGAGGCTATCTTCTCGTGGTTATTTGAAGAGGCAAAGGTTTCAGTGCCTGATGAGCAAGACACAGCAAAATTAGGGTAGCTAACAAAAAGCTGTAAGATCCATCATCTATTGGACACACTGGATGCTCCTTTGGATACCAATTTTGCTTTTAGTATCCTACCATATCCGAACATATTACCAGGAGAAATAAAATTTGAGATTTCAAAAACATTTTGAAAAACATGAAAATACTTTAATTTCACAAAGTTCAAAAAATTTTAATTTGATCACTTTGAACGGTATAAATAAAAGGCAGTATAACCTGTCAAAGAGCATAAGCTTTGGAAGATGACAGGCTATACTTCCAATTTAGCTCTAACTTAACACTCCATGTCTTGGATTCTGTGCTAATGAGCTTGGTTTGTGTCCTAGAGCCAACAAGATGTGTTGGTGGTCCATTAAAGGATTTCGACCAGGGGAGAGACGTGAATAATGGTTCCATTGCAAGTGCTTTGCCCGTGACATTTGCTGGCCAAGTCCTGGTTTGTCAGGAAAGCACAGAGAGATCTTTGTTGCCTTGTCATGATCATAAAAAAAAACTAGAGACCTCAGAAAGTACATATGCACAAAATGCCATGTTGATGTTGATGAACAATTTTGTGTAATCAAAAATGACCCTTAGGATGCATATCATTTCAATTGTGCAACCTGAAGAGGAGCCTACTATCAATCCTTAAGTGTTGAGAGGGCAACTCCACTACTTGCAGTGACTTGAAAAATGCAGCTACCCATCAGAGGAAGTTAAATGTGGGTGATTATAAAGTATGGACTTGGAATGGAAAGGGATGGATAAGAGACTTCTTGTAAGCTTTTCGACACGATTTGAGTTTCTGAAAAATCAAGTACGATCATAATAAAAATAAAAAATTTAAAATAAGGTGATTTTCATATATACACATATTTAAAATAACATTTATGATTTTTAGACAAGCCAAAGTTACTACCTGAAAGAGTCTCAGAGACTGAAGACTTACTAAGAGGACTGAGACCTGCAAATGATACCTGAAGAGGTTCTATGTTTTCCTAAACAAAGAAAAAAGTAGAAATTAGACATCTTTAAATCCAGTGGACATAGAAATAACGTGACCATAAGAAAATAATACGTATTTATTTTTGTAGGAGGAACTGTAATAAGCATAAAGATGGGAAATAAAAAAAACAAGCAAAAAAAAGCAAAAACAAGATACTGGATATAAAAATAAATGTTTTATAATATTTACCAATCATATTTAAGGAAACCATGCTTACTAACTACAACCCACCAAAATAATAATTAAAAATATAATAATAATTTTTAAAAAGTGAAAGTAGTCATGATGGTCCACTAATAAGTTACTTTTTGGTTTATTTAAAATCCCATATCCTAACCCCAGTAAAGTAAGAAAATTCATTAATAAACAAAGCAAACATTACAGTATTATTCAGGAGACCTTAAGGGTAAATATAAATGCAGATGTCAAATCTTTTCTTTCCCACAGCCAGTATAATGGTAGCTGTTAATTTTTCATAGATAAGATCTGTCAGGTTGAAGAAATTCTTTTTTCTCACCAATTTGCTCAGAGTTTTTATCTGAAATGAATGCTGGATTTTGTCAAATGCTTTTTCTCCATCTGCTGAGATGACCATAGAGTTTTTCTGTTTTACTCTGTTAATATGGTGAACTCTGCAGATTGGCTTTCAAATAAACCAACCTTGCATTTTGGGGGTAAAATCTCACTTGGTCATAATGTATTTATTCTCTTTTTAATTAGTATGTTAGTATGTTTGTGAGGATACTGGACTGTAGTTTTCTTCTCTCATGTCTGATTATGGTATCAGGCTACTGCTGACACTGATGAATTGGGAAGCATTCCCAACTCAATTTGTTTGGAAGAATGTATGCAGAATTAGTATTGTATCTTCCTTAAATGTTGGGTAGAATTCATTAGTAAAATCATCTGCACATGCAGTTTTCTTTGTGAGAAGGTTTAAACTACAATTTAAATTTCCTTAGTTGATATAGAGCTAACGAGACCACCTATTTCTTCTTGAGTGAGATTGATAGCTTGTGTCTTTCAAGGAATGTAGCTTAAGTTGTTGAATTTATTGGCATAAAATAAAGTTGTTCATAATATTCTTTTATGATCATTTTAGTATTATTAAGATATGTAATTATGTCACCTCCCTTATTCCTTATATTGCTAATGAGTATCCTCTCCTTTTGTCCTGAACAGTCTGATTAGAAGTTTACTACTATTTTCTGCAGCAAAACCTTCTGATTTCAATGATTTGTCTCTATTGTTTTCTGTTTTCTATTTCATTGATTTCTACACTTATCTTTATTACTTCCTTTCCTCTTCTTAGTTTGGTTTCAATTTGCTTTTCTTTTTCTAGTTTCTTAAAGTGGAAGCTGAGATCATTAATTGGAGACCTCTATTATTTTCAAATACAGGCTTTAATTTTTAGAAATTTTCCTCTAAGCACTGCTTTACCTGCATCCCACGCATCTTTTGTTACTTTATAGTGGCTTAGGGTTTACAGCACACATCTTTTAACTTATTCCACTTTGTTTATAGCCTAAGAACCCCTACCAACCTTTATGCCATGTTAATTTGGTTGTATATTTTACTTACCTAGGTTATAAACCGAACAAAATATTGTTGTTACTCTTGCTTTGAATAATTATCCTTTATGGAGACTAATTAAAAAGAAGTCTGTTACATTTGCCCACATACTTAGCATTTTCAGTGCTCTTCATTCCTCTGTGCAGATGCAGATTTTCAAGCAGAACTATTTTCCTTTTGACTAAAGGGCTTCCTTTCCAACACTTCTTCTAATGCTAACCTGTTATGGTAATGAATTATTTCAACTTTCGTTATGTCTGAAAAAGCCTTTATTTCCACCTTTTCTTTTGAAAGATGGTCTCACTAGATAGAGAATTCTAGTTTGACAGGTTATTTTTGTTTTTTTGCTCCAAGTAGTTAAATACATCTTTAAAAGATGTTGCTGCACTGCCTTCTGGCTCGCTCGCATAGTTTCCAATCAGAAATCTGCTGCCTCTCTTATATTTGTTCTTCTTATATCACATGTCTTTTTCTCTCTGGCTCCTTTTAGGCCATTCATTGTTGATTTTAAGCTTTGTGTATTTTTCTTTGTTTCTTGTGCTGGGAATATGTTGAACTTTAGGATCAGTGGGTTAATAATTCTATCAAATTTGGACATTTTTCAGCCATTATTTTGCAAATATTTTTTTCCTGTTCCTTCCAATCTCTCCTCTCCTTTGGGAACCCTAATTACAAGCACTTTATACCATCTGAAGTTGTCCCAGATCACGAATTGTCTGCTCATTCTTGTTCAGTCTTTTTCCTGTGTGTCACTGAGAATAATTTCTATTGCTACATCTTCGAATTCACTAATCTTTTCCCTTGCAGTCTCTAATATGCTATTAATCTCATCCAACATATTTTTATTCCTGGAGATTATAACGTACAGAGTTTGATTTGGGTCTTTTCTTTATCTTCCATGTTCTTAAGAAGCTCAATCCTTTCTCATATTCTTGAACATATATGAAATATAGTTAAAATAACTCTTTCAACATCTCTCTAGAAATTCTATCATGTGTCATTTCTGGGTCTATTTCTATTGATTGATTTTTCTCTTCATTATGGGGCATCTTTTCCTACACAAGTGTTAATTTTTAATTGAATGCCAGACATTTTGAGTTTAACATTATTTGTTGCTAGATTGTTTTGTTTTGGTTTGGTGGGAAGGATAAAACCATTTTATTGAGGGCCTTCAGGGGAGGGTTGAAGGGCTGGGAGGACAATGAGATCTGATGCCTTGGCCTCCCTGGGATCTCCCCACCTTCACAGCTGCCAAAAGCAGTTCTGATATTCTTGAGGTTCATTATGCAACACAGTTACATGGGTATAAGTTAGATCCTTTCAAGACTTGCTTTTAAGCTTTGCCAGGCTTTTAGTTTAATTCTGCTCCATTAATGAAGCAATACTCTTCTGAGTACCTGACACCCTCTGAATTACAAGGTTTTTCTACATGAGTTGGTGGGAACACAATTCCTGCCCTGTGTGAGCTCTAGGCATTTCCCTCTGCTCCATTTGGGCAGTTCCTCCCTGGCCTGGGGCAGTTTACTCACAAGGATGTGTTGACCAGCACTCAGCTAGAGACTTGACGAGACCCTCTGCAGGTCTCCGGAGTTCTCTCTCTCTGCAGGTCTCTTCTCTCTGGTATTTTACCCTGTGAACTCCAGCCTCCTTCACTTTTCCAGACACCAAATCCATCTTCTCAACTCATGGAGACTGCCAGGCTCCACCAAGGTATCCCCTCCCTGTGCTGCAGCCTGGAAATTCAGCCCAGGCAGTAAGTTGGGGCTCTCGTAAGGCTTACCTCATTTGTTACCCCCCTCAGAGATTATTGTCTGTGCTTCCAGACAGTCAATGCCAGTGAACCACTGTTTCATATCTTTTTCTCTGGCTTTTTAGTTGTTTCTCATGGCAATGTAAATTAGGTCCCTCTTATTCCATCTTGGCCAAAAGCAGAATATTCTTATTTCAAAGTATAACAGCAAGAGAGAGATTGAATGATGGCCCCAATATAAAAATGGGTAAGTAAAACTAATAGGCAGTTCTCAAGAAATTCAAATAGCCTATAAACATGTGAAAATGTTCAACCTCACTAACAAACAATATTTTCCAGTCATCTTTTTCTCCTGTTAAGCTATTTTTTAAAAAAGTACCATTAAAACCCAGGGTTTACAAAGGTCTAATAAATTAAATCATTTATAGTGCTGTGAGTTCAAATTAGTACACACTTTCTGAATAATTTAGCAGTATGTATCAAAAAGTTCAAAAATGTTCATATTCCTTAATCCAGTAATCCCACCTGCAGAAATTCATCTTAGGAGGAAGAACAATTTATACTATAATATATCAATTCTAAGATTGCTGCTCTTTCAACATTTTAACACCTCTGAAATCTGAGTACATGGTGTGTACCACAGTTTAACTTTCAGCATTTTTTCTTAGTGATAGATAGAACAATGGCACATCCTACAATCAATAGCAGTTAGGTTTCAGAAAATACGCTATGTACAAGGAGTCATGGAAGTATTGTTTTTAAAAGGAGAAAACTGGTAATCACCTAGCTAGAAAATGCATTAATTTATACCATGACACATTGTTCAGTCCATCTCATGATATCAAAGCACAATTATTGCTCATGCAAAATAGGTGAGGTCTGATGAAAATGTAAACAAGATTGTTCCACACTTTTCACACTTACAAGATTCTCTCCCTTGTCATCAAAATTTGGTTGAAGTAACCCCTCAGGAGCTGGGGACTGTTCAAGTAGCAGGGGACTGAGGGTACTTAAATCCTTTTTACGAACCGGTGTTTCTCCTTTACGCAACGGAGTGTTTGCTGGCAAAGATTCATCAAACACTTCAGGGCTTAGGTCGTCTCCGAAAGTAACTCTCTTCCTCTTCCTCATATTTAGAGAGTCTGGTACTGTACAATTTTCTTGACCTTCTATTAGATAATAAATGGGAATATATTTAAAAATTAAACTACATTTCTTATCTAAAAGACATATCCTAGAATCTTTTAACATGATTGGATCTGGCTATTTGTATAACACAAAACATAGTTTGTACAGAAAAAAAGTTTAAAGTGGAAAAGATAAGCAATATTTCTAATTAAAATATGGTCATGGATTTTAAAGTAAATTCTGCATGCCTGTCTGAAAAGATTACAAAATTGAATATCAATTTCCTTACAAGTTTCACATTAAGCAAAAAGGGATAGATGACATGTGTGGAACCAATTCTGAAACTTCAAAAGAGGGTCCGTCCCTCCCAACTCTTCTTCATTCCCACGTAATTTCAGAAGCATCAGGCATTAGTAGACCACCAAAAATACCACATACTACCTCAGGGTTTTTTCATAACAAGCAAATGATATCTTCAGGCTTCAAAATAAATCTGAATTTCTTACCTGCTTTTCGTTCTTTGCAACAGTTTGCAAGATTTAAGATTAAGCTTGGATAAGTCCCACCATCACAGAGGTTGTCACAGTGTTCCTAAATAAAATAAACACTGATGAATAATTTTACATATATAAATACATACACACAGACATTAAGAACGACAACTTCGAATTTCTTTCCTGCCAAGGGTAGATACTACATAGTATTGCAGATTACCTTTACTCTCATAGTTGATCTGACTTAAAATATCATGATATTAGCCACAACGAAAAACTGGGTTCCTTAGCTATCATAATACTTTAGTAAATAGTTTTAGGCCAAAATTAAAGAACAGAAATCCATAATGTGGGCTAAATTCATTCCCTCATTTTTGACCTGGCAAATGACTTGAAGGAAAATGTGAATGGCCAGAATCACAGTGTACTCTGGATGGTGTCAAATGAGACAAACTATATAAATGGTCTAAAGTATAAGAATTCCACTAAAACAAGAAAAAACCAAATATGTAAATGGCATAATAGGGTATTTTGTCTTTTAGACATGGGAACCACACCTTTTATAAGTGTATAAATCTCCAGTCTACGATACTATATTCCTGAGTTAGAACAAGCAAAGAAAGTAGCATTTGTCCTTCTGTGCTTCTCCAGAAGATTACAGAGTAGGCAAGTTGGTGAGGAAAGGACAATGTGAATCCTGAAGAATAGGAGGGGTAAGCCCAAACACAGGGCCACTGGAGCAAAGTGGGCGAAAGCCAGGGCTGTGGGTGGCTGAGAGGCACCTCCAAATCACCATCTGTTTGTCCCGTCTCATCCTAAGCCCTGACCAGCCCTTGTTCTCTAGAGCTGTTCATTTTCTCCAGCACACCCATCCCAAGAGCAGCCCCTTCTCTAAGAAACAGTCCTGCCCTAAACAAACCTCCTTCATCAAGCATCTCCTGAGACTCAGCTTCATTTTCCCAACCAGGAAAATGCTCACATCAGTATTTGTGAAATAAGTGAACTTATACAACAAAGTTCAGGTTAACGTTTAGATTTACTTTTCATTATTACCATGAAAGTTATCCAACAACTCAAACAGAATACACTTGCAAGCTTTGGGCAGCTTAGCAAGAAGACCATTAGTTGTGAAAGTCTTCATATGATTTTAGTGGCAGGACTTGATGTTTCTGCTGCATTAACACTGTTAATTGATAAGAGTTACACAGATCATTAAGATGCTAAGTCTCTTCTTTGAGAAGATAAAACAAATAAAAGATAAAAATGAGCAGTGCTGTATAGAAACCCAAATCAAGCTCTTTAACCAGAAAAATTGTTAAAACATTTAAAAATAACAACTGTCCATGTCTCTCTCTCGCCCTAACACACCTCACCCTTCCCCCTCCCCATATCCTCAAGTCTGTTCTCCAGTAGGTCTCTGTCTTTATTCCTGATGTACGCCTATAAGAGGTATCTTGAAAAGCAGATATTTTTGGTGGAAATAATTAACAAACTCACACATTAATAACTTACGAAACTCTTATAAAATATGGTCTACCTATATTAAATTCAACATACTATATTCCAAACTGAGTTAAAAAAAAAAAAGACATTTCCTGTTAGGCCAGTATTACATAACATTTCAGAGGTATTTCTTTGAACCAAAATGAATTTTTATTCAACTTGCTTTAGGAAATGTAGCTCTATACTGACCTGCAGGCTGTCTAGACACAGCTTTGCAGAAGGTTTCTTCAGCACAGAACGAAGTACAAAGGTCTCAGAGGATGGAATGTCCCTCTGGCACAGTGGAGTAACCAGTGACCTGGCTTCAGGAGCCATGTCTGTACTCACTTCTGTAAATTTGTCAACTGAAACAGCATCGCTGGATCTTTTGCCCTCTACAGAGTCAGCGACCTGGATTCCTTCAACACAGAGGTGTAAACATGAGAGGTGGCAGACATCTGAGTCAGTCTGTTCTACAACAAAAGTAGTAAGTATTTACAAAAGGAATAACAACCTTTTCAGAAATTCAATCCTAAGATATCCTGCTTGAGGAGTAGCATCTGGGATTTCACTTGGAGACATAAAACAAAGAGAAGAGGCACTGGCCACAGCTTTTGTTTCAAATCTGACCACTGAGGGCAACAGTGAGTAAGATGTCTTGGCTCCACGGAAATCTAAGAAGGCCCCCGCAGCTCAGCTATTAACTGTTAATCTGCTTCCGCTCACGACACCTACGGTTTGCACCATGAAACTAACTTGAGCCAGACAATGAATCATGACTGATTTTACTGGTGGAGTCAGAGGCATTTTCAGCATGCAAGGGTAGTGGGAGGGAAAGGACAGAATGCTGAGGAGAACGACTATCAAATAAAAAAATGAACATATTGTATGTGCCCCCAAGCAAGGCAAGGCTCCCCCCTGCAAATTCTCACAAGAGGGCATTGCCTGATGATTGACTTTTAACAAATATATACTGGGCGCTTAAGGTGTGACAGGTACTTTGCGAGAGATATAAACACCACAGATAAAGCCCCCATGGCCTCAGAGGACAAATAGACAACATAAAATATAGTAACTGGGGGGCACAGAAGGAAGGAGGTAGCTGTGCCTGTGTAAAAGGGTAGCATGAGGGACCGTGTGATGGGACTGTGATATATCTTGACTGTAGTGTGGTTATGTGAGTCTACACCTGTGATAAAATCATGGAACTAAATATACACACAAACGTGTGCATGCAACACTGGTGAAATCTGACCAGAAAGGTCAGTGGATTGTATCAGTGTTGATTTCCTGGTCGTGCACTGTATTACAGTTATGCAAGATGTTACCACTGGGGAAACTGGGGGAAGGGTGGATAGGCTTTCTTCCTATGGATTCATTCTTATACCTGCATGTGAATCTACAGTCATCTTAAAATAAAAATTAAAGAAATGTATATATAATAACAAGCAGTAACCCATGCCATTAAGGAGAATAATGCAGAGATAGAGTTAGGGTATGGGAGGGGTGGGGGTGAGTTCAAGGACAGCCTGCTGAGCAGGCACCTGAACACAGTGAGGAAGCGAGCCGCATGTGTGTCTAGGGAAGATTATACATACGCTCAAAGCCAAGTGCAAAGACCAGTGACAGGAGTGCCCCTGGCGTATAAGAGGTGGGGCAAGGCCAGAGTGACTGGAACAGAGCCAGCAAGAAGACAGCTAAGCCACAAGCTCAGAGTCAAGGCTAAGGACCAGGTCAGGTGCAGCCTAGTAGGAAGTGGATGGACTGGATTCTATCCTAAGTATGCTGGGAGGCCAGTGAGAGATCTTGAGGGGAGTGACATAGTGTGACTTGCATTTTATTTATTCTTTTGTTGTTGTTTCTGTTTGAAGGGTAACAGGTTTTTTTTTTTATAGCCGTCAGTATTTAGAGGGGTTATTTTTCTTCCCTACAGTTTTATTGAGATACAAGGTGTGCAGCATAATGATCTGACTTACACGCACCACGAAGTGATGACCACAGTCAATCTAGTGAACGTCCACCACCTCATACAGATACAACATGAAATAGAAAAAAATTTCCCCTTATGATGAGAACTCCTAGGATTCGCTCTCCTTTTTTTTTTTTTTTTTTTTTTTGGCCACGTGGCACGGCTTGTGGGATCTTAGTTCCAGACCAGGGATCGAACCCAGGCCCTCGACAGTGAGAGCACGGAGTCCTAACCACTGGACTGCCAGGGAATTCCTTGCACTTTTAGAACCTGTCCATCCTT